AAAATTCCATATGATATAGTTTGAAAAAATGTACAGAGATATAATATCAAGATAAAAAGTCTAAATGCATTGAGCCCCAATCCACGAACTCATGAACGCTTCTAGACTACTAGTGACTTTCGCAAGTTTAAAACAAAATAACCACAATATTTTTACCCCTTAATTAGAGATAATTTTCCAAGGCAAACGCCTTGAATTGTCTCGTTAAGTAAGTAAGGTAGATAGGTAATTGCAAGTACATCTTCATAAACCAATTTCACCACTAAGTAACCATTATTTTTGAAAGCATGAATATCAAAAATCATTTAACTGTGTGGCAATTATCTTCCAGCATTTAGTAACTTAATCAGCTATTTCTCGATGAAATGTTCCCAGCTCATTAAGTTTGCAACACAAGATAAAAATAATGATCCATATTCCTATGTTCATTTGCGAACAAATTCAATGCTATGACCTTAACAGAGTCTCACATCATCACTAAGTTAAAGCTTGGCTTGTGAATACATAAGCGCACCGAGCACTCTCCCCTTACAAGACTATCCAATATGCTAAATTCAGTAATATCAAATTACAAATACTTCCGGGGTCGATCCTAGCAGTAGACAAGGCAACTTGAGGACGGGTACTTCTAGATCACTGGTTCAGCGAAGTCACGGCCATGGATGTCAGTTTATTGTATCATAGTCGAATTACCACCAAGTTAATTACCAGTTCAATTTCAAAAGTCCATATCAATTCAAAAATCCGGGGTAACCTGAAATCCAGCTCAAGATCACAATATATATAACATCAGTGTCCCTCGAAATTCAATTGCACATTCCTAACAAACATACACAAGCTAAAAACAGTTCAATAACACGAAACATTAAGGAAATTACTCATTTAATCAAAGAAAAATGATCTGACTAGGACCACCGTTATTATAAGCTAAATCTGGCTATAAAAAACATTACAGATTACATTAAACTAGAATTTATATAAACGTTACATATATTTTCAACCTGAGGAAGGAGTTCCCGAATGTACGGTAGGCGGAAGAGAGGGAGGAACCACAGGAGTGAAAGATTTCTAGCATATCTGAGAGAGGGCATTAGGGTTTTACCGAAATTACTTTTCTGTCCCTGCTATTTCCAGCAAAATTTCCATTCCAACCAGTGGCTTGATTGACCATTAAGCCGACTCCATTTAAAATAAAATAATTTACTTCTCATACTCATTTTCATTTATACATTTACATAATAAATATTTCACGTATAAATTCTATGTTTTTTATTTTTTTAATTACACGTTCTTAAAAAAATTAATTCAAAACATCATTTTTACACAATAATAACTATCAAATAGGGGCTAAAATTTTCATTTGGTCACGATGCACGGCGTTTTGTTTCTTTTCAATCAAATCGATCACTAAAGTTAGTTTATGATATGCGGTTACAGTTATCTCGGATAGCTTTTCAGAAAAAAGTAGCCGGACGTTTTCGGGATGCCGTTGATAACCAACGAATGGCAAGTTTATTATTTTTTTCTAAATTAGTTGTCAAAATTAATAAATAGTTCAAATATGATTACTTTTTTACCGTTAGTGAGATTAACGTGAAAGTAATCTTAAAAGGCATGTTGACTCGGCGGAATTATCTTCGTTAAATAAAATAATGAAAATATAAAAATAAATATTATAAAAAATAATTCGAGATTACAAACGCTATTTGTAGGTAATATTAAAAGATTAATAGTTTAATGAATTTAATATAGTATAATATTTAACAGTAACGAAAAAATCCGTCAAGAATAAAATAACAATAAAAAACAACATATTCGTTAAAATTATATAGAAATTAACATATCTATCGATAATTTATTAAAAAAAAACTTTCGTCATTGATAATTTAAACAAATCAAAATTAACGAGTGGACATGGGTAGCCTTACTGACATAAGGCAAAGGAAATACATAAATCTGAACAGAAAAGACATAAACTGAACAGTCACCATATGCACAAGAGCGGATCAGTCCATTTAAACCATAAACCGATTTCCAGGTTCATTATGTAAAATTGTCAGACACATTTAGCTTTACTTTCTTTCCAATTTTCATGTCCACTTCCAAATTAATGAAAATTCATTTCATTTAATCACCATTTAAATAACCAGAACATGTATAAGGAAAGAACATATACATGGCCGTGCAGAGATAAGAGTACTAAACATGCAACAATAATTTATGTTCTTGACGTCCATGAGAATAAATTTTTCAATAAATCTGGTATATCAATTATACATATAAAATATACATATAAGCATGCAATCTCGTGTTGTTATTCCTTATAACAGACTCACTACTAGAAAAGGAGGCAACATAAACGGAATTTCAGCGACGGACAACTTCTGTTGTTATTATTGACTGAACAACAACAAATTAGCAAGAGAATAATATTATATTACTTTTATAAATATTAATTTTTCGTTAGTATAATTTCGTTACTAATCCATTGATAAAAATTTAAAAATAAAAAACAATTAATTAAATAATTTAGTGACGAGATTTTCTAACGATTGATTCTGTTGAAAATAATATAAAATAATAAAATAATTACCTACTGAATAAATACATGTTGT